GTAGTGGTAGGGGTAGTGGTAGTGGTGGTAGTAGTGGTGGTAGTAGTAGTAGTGGTGGTGGTGGTAGTAGTAGTAGTGGTGGTGGTGGTGGTAGTGGTGGTGGTAGTGGTGGTAGTAGTGGTGGTTGTAGTGGTGGTTGTAGGGGTGGTAGTAGCCGTGGTAGTATGGTAGTCGTAGTGGTAGTGGTAGTGGTAGTGGTAGTGGAAGTAGTAGTAGTAGTAGTAGTAGTTATTGTAGTAGTAGTTGTAGTAGTAGTAGTAGCAGTAGTACTACTACTAGTACTAGTACTAGTACTAGAAGTAGTAGTAGTAGTAGTAGTGGTAGTGGTAGTGGTAGTGGTAGTGATAGTAGTGGTAGTAATAGTGGGAGGAGGAGTAGGAGTGGCCCTATGGCAGCCATGGCGGCGATGAACACTTTTACGCCTTTGTATGTCGGGTAGTGGTTGGTTGGCCACCGCGCGGCCAATGGAGTCATGAGCGGTGAGTTGAGGCTGACGAGGGCGTAGGAGCGCCCACTCTTGTAGGACAACCTGGCAAAATATCAGTTGCAGATATGGAACGTACTGCCCACTCCCGTGTGGTCGTTCAAGATTGTTAGTGGGACTTGCCCTTGTGCGCAGATGGCAGTCATGTGAATCAATCAAGCATGTTTTTTTTTATCCCTTAAGTTTTATCTCCCCGCTGGCATGGGCTTTAGCGCGTCAATGTTATGGGCATGCAGCAGCAACAATGCCACAGCCAAAACCATCCAAAACCACAGCTAGCAAAACCCAGTTATGGTTGTAAAGGTTTTCGACGAGGATATATGTTCAAAGGATTTCATACAGTGGCAGCTAAAACGCCTTTGACAAGACGCAATGTGTCACCGACGCAAGTTGGGCAATTGTGTTGTCGCCGGCTTTGGTGGCACTTTATGTTCGTCAGTTTTTTCTTGGGGAACTTAGCGCTTGAGCTTCATCATGGAACCAATCACGATTCTGGTGAGCGCAGCCCCTAACAAACAACACACAATGCGAAGTCAACACATAACATTACCCTTAACCAAACATGAAGATGAACATGCTAGGAACAGGGGCATGATGCAGTGCAACATGGATAAACATAGTACGGGCAGCAATGTCCTTCAAAACTTTGCGGAAGATGGTGCAGCAAGTAAAGCCTCCACTGCGAGGAGTGGTTTTTGACTTGGATGGGACCCTCACCGCCACTTGGCGATTCCGAAGTCAAACAGGGCTTTCAACTCAATACCCTTTTTCTGCTTTTGGAACGTCAAGGTGCAAAATTTGGATTTTCGAGCTATGCATGACCGCTGCGGAGTTCCAGCTGGCGAGGATCTACTGCAAGCTGTGGCTGCGATGGACGGTGCTCAAAGGCATCATGCAGAAAATGTCATTGAGGACATCGTGCGAATGCAAACAACATGGAGCTCGCGCAAGTCCGATTTTGTATGATTTTATTTCGCAATTTTTTCAGGAGATGGAAGAGGAGGGACGTCGCACATTGCAATTGGCCCAGGGTGCTGTTGAACTTGGCAAATGGTTGCATTGGTGGAATGTGCCCACAGCGATTGTCACTCGTGCTTTGGCCGGGAAGTCGTTGGAATATGTTTTTTGAGTGTTTTTCACTTTCGATCTTAGCCCTCCCCCAGTCTGTGTTGTGTGCCGTGGAGGCAACACGCAAGCAACAGTGCAGCATTTGCATGAAAAACTGTGGTGCCCATACAACTTGCCAAAATTTTGGCCTTCAGTTGCGCGAGAATTTGTACCACCAAAGCCGCATCCTGCTGCCCTAGCCCCTGGACACAGCAAACAGTAATTCTTTTTTTTTTGGCAATTGCTCTCTTTGAATTGGTGGGTGGAGGCCATCGCTATTAGGTTGGAGGCCATTGCTTCTAGGTTGGAAGCTATTAGGTTGGAGGCCATTAAAGGCACTGCGCATGGCCATAGCCATCACACACAGGAGATGATTGCCTGGGAATGGGATGTCGCCCTTGGGCAGGGGTTGCTTATGGTTGGCGACTCGCCGTCCAATGCATCTGGGCTGCATACTCTCTGCGTGCGCTCGCACGTTGCATGTGGGAATTCTATTTCCAGTGCCAAGGATATCGCCTTTGGCAAGGCGGCTGGCGTGTCAACAGCACTCGTAGATGCAGACCGCAGACATTTTGAAGAGCAAACAGGTGCGAAGCAATGAGTGTATAATGGCATGTAATGGCCAATACGAGGTGTTCGAAACATATTTCAAAATTTAGAGGCCCCGGCAGGGGTGGCCCCTGGCCGTTCACAAGGTCTAGCAAGTTTGGTCGATGTTCAGGTGCAGACTTTGTCGTGCAGAGCCTCGTGGAGCTTCCACGCATTCTGTGGCAACATTTCGACGTCAACCCCTCGGCTGAAGGCAGATCGGGAACCGTTGGGAACCGTTTGGGCAACAGTAGCCGCTCTGGAAGGGTGGTGTTGTCGTGTCTCGTGTCGTGTTGGCATCGTGGGTGCTGGAAAGTACGTTGGTGCTCTTCGGGACGCACTTTCTCGGATCTGGCGCCAACTCCAGGGGTCCGTGACGTTGCTTTCATGTTCGCAACCGTTGGAATGCCATCGATAACGCCCTCCCGTTCAAATCTGTTGGGGGAAATTCTCCAAAGGCAATACTACTAGGAGCAAGAAGCTACTAGTAACAAAGGGCATTGCTACTAGTAGCAAGGACGCTACTAGGAGCAAGGAAGCCAAAGGCGCTGTGCACTTGGTAGGTTTTGGCAAATTCCAACCGCTTCCACGGTGGCAACAGGTCGTCCATAACAACAAAGAAAAGTATAAACAAGGTAAAGAGCATTGCTGGAGTGTCACTGGTCAGCATAGCTGGGGGGGACGCCCCCCGCTGAGGTCCTCGGAGACGCCCTCCAATTCCAATCAGTGCAGCTTGCCGTGCAGCCTCATCGGGCGATGTGCCCACATTGCAGCACATGGAGTTGAAGGTCAAGCATTGCAAGCAACTGTGTTCTCGCTATTGCCCAGACATTTTTCTTGGAATTGTTTTGAGCAAAGGTGTGACAATCAGCAGGTTTTGATTTGCTGAAGTTGCAGGACCTTGAGGCTTCAGATGAATTTGGCAATACTCCGTAACTCGATGGCCAATAGATGTCCCTGGTTGAACTCCTTCTCCATTACTTTGCATCAGTGACTGGCACTGCCTCAGCTGAGGCTCATATGGGCAGCTGAGTCTGGGAGTGTCGCAGTGGTGGAAATGCTTCTAGCTGCTGGGGTGGACGCAAATGCCAAAGGTCGGACCGTTCAACATGTTTTTTTCAGCATTAAGTTTAATTAGAATAGAAACTATAAGCTACTAGGAACACGTGCATCGCTTCTAGTAACAAGTGCCTTACTAGTAGTAACAAGAAGCTATTGGAAACAATAATTAATTAGAAACACAAAAGAACAGGACAGAGTCGGACAAAGAAAGACGCTACTAGGAACAAGTGCATCCCTACTAGGGGCAAGGGCCTTACTAGTAGTAACAACAAGCTATTCGAGGGCATCCATATTGCGAGCGAATGGCAGCTTCTTTGTGTTTGACATTGAGCGCCCGATCACTTACAGGATATGCCGGGAACTCTGCCATCTCCCGGGCATCTCGCCATGGACATGAGCCGATACTTCGAAGCTTGCTGCCTGGCGCATCAAGATGCATCAAACATGAGCACGTTGACTTCTTATTTCGACATCAACGTACAGATGTCCACACAATCAAAGAAGACATGGACAGCTTAGCCTTAGCTGCTTTCCTCATTCCAACAGGCTTGCTGCAAAAGTGGGAATCAAATTGGACGACCCAAATGACAAGCTGCAGTCTCCTTTGCACTTCGCTGCCTTCTACCAGCACTCTCAAGACACTTGAATGCAAAGTCTGACAGTACAGCTGTTTTGAGGTCGGCTAAGCCTTGTGTTTGTTTGCCTCAGGCCGTTCAATTGCTACTGGACGCTGGTGCTAGCACCATATCGATTGACAGCAAGGGAAGAACCCCTGCAGACTTCGCAGGTGACTCGGGCCACGCAGACGACCACGCATGTGGAATACGAGACATGATCCTCCGGGTGAGGGAAACACATTTGAAGTAGCCACCGCCTAGGCAGAAGGATGCCGGAGGCAATTTATGTTTTAGTTTCTAAAGTAGGCTTTGATGCCAGGACCTGTAAGAGCATAAACACGCATTGGATACAAAAGATTTTGCCTCAGTTTTTTCGGCAATTGGTGCAGTTTGCAGTAATTGCAATCGTTGCCAGTGACCGCAGTTTTTCCTTTTGGCCTCATCTTGAACGGCAGCCAGCAAACGCAGAGACGAGAATAGACGCATGAAGATGCAAACAGGTGCACAACATGTAGTGGCAAACACTGGTGCATGTGATCTGTGCACGTTTCCACAGCAAGCTTTCCTTTGACACTTTGACCTTTCATGACCTTTCCTACCTCATGACCTTCAGCGACATATTTTGGACCACTGCATGTCCAGACCAACTTGTCCACCCCTCCTTCGCTGCAAGACCACTCATTGTGGATTTTGTTTGCAAGCCAACATGGTTCTAATATATTCTAATAGAATAGAGATGAATAGAGTACGTTTGGTGTCGTTCAGCTTTGGTGAGCCATGCCTGAAGCAATAGAGGCGAGACTCTTGAAACAAGATTTGCAGCCCAGAGATCGGAAGCGCGTTCAAGATGCTGTCAATACATATTACAACCTTCATGTGAAATTCAATAAGGACAAATCCTTGACAGAAGAAGAGAAGTGGACAATATTTGCCAAGATTTTGAAGACTAAATTGGATCAACATTTGGGGGCGGATTGGCATGTTGCGATTGGCAATGCTATGGGCTATGCATGCAAAGTTCGTCAGAAGGCCATGGGTGTTTGGAAGTTTGGGGATGGCTGTGTCGTGCTCATTTGGAAATCTCCTGGGATCGAGCCGGCTCCAGAAACTGACGCAGACAATGTGACTGAGAAGGTGGAAGCTCCAAAGTCAAAACCCTTGAAAGCAAAGGTTATTTTTCAGAGTGAGGAGGTGTCGGAGATCATTGATGCTGTTCGTGAAGAGCTTCCTACTTTAGGGAAGGACCTGAAGGATGAACAAGTGGTAGCCACAGCAGTGCGAAAGCGACTCACAGCAAAATTTGGCACGATATGGCACGTACTCACAGGATCAAAATTCGTTGTCGAAGTGGCCACAAACTCTCGCAATCACTTTTGCATAGAGGTCGGTGGCATGCGGCTTGTTGGCTTTCAACATGAACAGCTCAACACCGGGCTGCTCTCATCGCTGGATTTTACGAGGTTGCTGACAACATTGCCATATCTTCTGATGACACTGTTGTGCTTTGCTTACATGGGGCTCTCTTCACTTTGCAAGGATGGCGTGGCAGTGCAACAAGGATCCTGGATGGGCCATTTGCGTGAACAATTATGCCACGAGAATTGGGAGATGTCATTGCGAACCCTTGGCGTCATTGTCATTGTGTCAGCTTTCTGCACGAGAACCCTCCCTCGTTTCTTGCCGAAGTCTTAGCCAGTTTTGAATTCCATGCGAGATGGGGCCCAGCAGACGCTACTCCGCTACTCCTTGTGACGAAAAAGTGTTGCCGCTATGGCTGCTCTGTGAGACTTGCAGCAGGAACTGGACGGCTTTAGAACTTTTCATGAAAACCTTCAGAAAGGCATGGTAATTTACTTTTCATCCTGTTTTCACGAATAGACTGCAGTATGCAATTTTCCATAATGTTCCTTTTTGGATGCATTTGGTTCAAGCGGGCGCTCTACACACACTTGTTGGAAGCTCGGTAGCAATGATCGGCCGAGTTTGCCATAGTTTTTGCAGCCTTTTGCTGCTCCTCAATCTTCCTGTGTGCAGTGGGAGCAGTCCTGGCCTACGTGGCCAGAAAGCTGACAAGCCTAGAGAACAAGATGGCGTTGATGCTACATGTGGAAACTTGGCATCCCATGGCTAAGTTTCGACATCGAGCTACACTACCGCAGAGGTGCGTAGCATTCTGCTAGAATCAACATGTCAACTATGATCATGTTTGCTCAAATAAAGGTATATCTACAAGTCTGTAGAGCGCAGTTTGAGGCAATTCAACTCACTCTAACTCGTTTCACACTTGTTGGGCATTTTTTCAACTCGATCAAAAGCCTTTCACCTCTTCTTGCTCAGACACGAGGACGTGTGGGGTGGCACAGCACAAAGCGCCAGAATCGAATCGTACATGGCCAAGATTCCAAGCAATGTGCATGGAAGTGGCAGGTTAGCTTGCGTGCAATGATCAACGGTACTGCGCAACACTTTTGCGGTGGCACCCTGATTTCTGAAAAGTGGATCCTTACTGCTGCCCATTGCACTGCATTTCTGAACGACTGCAAAATGTCGAAGATGCAGGTCGTTGCAGGGGGGTGGCATCAGAAAATGGAGAACAACACAGATGGTGGCATTGTAACGCGAGGAGTGCGCCGAGTCCTGATCCACCCATCCTTTAACGTCGAATCCCACTTCAGCATGGACTTTGGGCTTTTGGAGCTCGACGCCCCGGTTCCATTCGACGACTGCGTCGGATCCGTGTGCTTGCCAACGAAAGATTTTCCTACTGTTGGCACCAATTGTGAAGTTACTGGCTGGGGCACTCTAAACATGGAAGGTGCAGTTCCAAATGTTTTGCAGCAGGGATTGGTGAACACAGTCAGCCAAGACATTTGTGCCAGAGCTGCAAATAGCCTCACACAGCAGTCTCTGGTTTTCCCGCTTCCGTACTTAAGAATTTAAGAGTGAGCATAGCATGACAGAATGTTGAGGTGCAGAGCAGTACGCCAAAGACAACCAGACGATCACCAGTGGCATGCTATGCGCAACTGGTGCAACTGGCCAGGGAGTCACGGATGCCTGTCAAGGAGATAGCGGAGGCCCACTCGTGTCTCAGCTGGGTTTTGGAAAGCTGCCTGTTTTGCCGGTTTTGAACACTGCACACGCCCAAGGTTTGCCTGGAGGGCGAGCGCTTTGTCATTGCTGGTGCCACTTTGCTGAAAATAGTTCCGGCTATGTGGTTGAAAGAGCATTGCCGGCTGCTAGGTGATCAGCTGGGGCCATGGCTGTGGTGACGCCAACTATCCAGGTGTTTACGCTCGGGTGGCTTCTGGGCTGGAGACTTGCCATGTGAGTGGGTCCTGCCACCGCTTTTTGCGAAGAGGGCCATGGCCCACCGATATGAGACATCCAAAAGACATCCAAAATATCCGTATATATAAAGTAATTTGTAGCAAGTCTTTTCTGAACTTGGCGAACTCGTTCTGACGTCCACCGGCTGCGACGCAGATGGGTTCGGGTTCTTCAAGCAAGCTGCTTCCGATAAAAACGGAAAACGGAAGGGTCGAAACATGTCGAAACTAAATGGTGAATTATGGTTAGTTGGTTCATTTAATCGACTCAGTGTTTTTCCTTTTTCTTCGTTCTGGTCGAAACATGTTGATACGGTTCCTAGATTCTGCGTTTGATGTGTGCCTGTTTGTGACACGTGACCACGGATCCCCATGTGCACGTTACGATGACTGAGATGTAAACGCACCAACGACCTCTGGGGAGCAGGACGAAATGAGAAATGACATGTTGTGCTCCCAAGAGTGTATGATTGGTAGGGCTGCTCAGCTGCTCATTCTGAGGAATGGATCGAAGCTGTGCTGTCTGGCAAGATTGCAATGCCAGAGGAGCCGAGCTCATCAGAGGTAAACTTCCATGGCAATCTGGCAGAATGCTATTTCCTTCACCAGTCTTTCTTGAAGAGTTTGTCTTCCACATTGCTCACACACACACACACACATATATATATATATAAAGACTTTTTTGTCACTTTAGCTGCGTGGTTTTGAGCGTCGGGGGTTGAAGCTTTGAAGCTTTTGAGGCCACATGTGGGCAGTAGTTTCGGGTCGATGCAGCATTGATGAGGCGAGATGGATCGCAAAGGGCTCCTGACCTTACTACTAGTAACAAGTGCATCGCTACTAGGAGCAAGGACGCTATTAGGGGCTCCTGGCCTTACTAGTAACAAGAAGCTACTAGGAGCATATAAAGCAAAGAGCTCTTTATGCTTGCTATTTCACTTAGAGAGTTCGTTCGCCCCACTGACTGAGGATGGCTGTGTGCGAAGTCCAGGGTACCCAGACCAGTACGGCGGCAGGGAGAAATGCAGGCAGAAGACCTACTACTAGCGATGGCCTCCAACCTAAGACCGATGTCCTCCATACCTAAGAGTCCATTTCTGCACAAACATTGCAAAAGCAGCGCAATCTTT